AATCTTATAAGAGTTGGTTTGAAATCAGCAATCAGAAAAGATAGTAAGAATCAAGTTGAACTTTGATCTTTCATTTAAAAAAAAAGGTCCCTCTGAAACATGAGTTAGCTTGAAATGCAAAGAATTAGGTACTCCTGTCAGGACTCCTGACTTGTATAGGCATAATCTTTTCTTTATTTGGCTTTCTGTAGTTACTGGAATGGGCTTTTGATGGCTCAGTGGGTAAAGAATCTGTCTGCAATGCAGACGAAGAAGATGCAGGTTCCATCTTTAGGCTGGGAAGACCCCATGGCAACCCACTCCAGTATTCTTGGCTGGAGAGTCCCATGGACAAAGTAGCCTAGCGGGCTACAGTCCTTAGGGTCCCAAACGGTCAGATACGACAAGCAACTGAGCACACAATTACTAGAATAATTGGTTGGAAAAACATTTCACTTAAATGGATGAAATCCTGAATAACAACAACAACAACAAAAACAGCATTTATTATGTGCCATATACTCTTCTAAGTACTTAACATTTGTTAATTTCCTTAAGATCTACAATACCTGAGAAACTTGACCAAGCCTATATAATAAGTGCCAGAACTAACTCCATAGAGTCCCTATGTCTAGCTCCTAGAAGCAGTGAGAAAATTAACATTGTGTGGCAACCAGTAGTTCTGCATAGTTGGCTTAAGCTATGTTAGGTGGATGATCTTCCTGGAAACAAAGCCAACATTTAAAGATCCAGTTTAGGGACTTCCCTAAAGTTCAGTGGTTAAGACTCTGTGCTTCTGCTGCAGGGGGCACACAGGTGGGTTCCATCCCTGGTCGAGGAACTAAGATCCCACTTGTTGCTTGGCCAGATATCTGTGTGTGTATATATGTGGTGGCTCAGACAGTAAACAATCTGCCTGCAATGCAGGAGACCTGGATTCAATCACTGGGTCAGGAAGATCCCCTGGAGAAGGGAATGGTAACCCACTCCAGTATTCTTGCCTGGATAATTCCACGGACAGAGGAGCCTGTCGGGCTGCAGTCCATGAGATCACAGAGTCAGACACGACCGAGCAGTCGTGTTAAACTGTATCCAGTTTAACAAGTTAAGGTAGAATTTTGTCCCCAAACATTCATTTTAGATCTTTAAGCTCCTCTCATAAACTTTAATGAGGTTTACTTTAGTTATACCAAACAACACTCATTAAAATTGTACAATGAGTTTTTGGTAGATATTTGACATGAAACTACTTTCATAAACAAAATGCCAGGTATTTCCACCAGTTTGAACACTTTCCTCCTGCTCCCTTACAATTTATCCCTCCCTCCAGGAGGTTGTGCCTGGCAACCACTAATCTGCTTTCTATCGCTATAGATTAATTTGTATTTCTAGAACTTTTATAAGTAGAGTCATAATAGCTACTCTTATGTCTTTTTCTCAGCATGATTATTTTGTGATTCATCCATGTTGTATGTATTGCTATTTTGTTCCTTTTCACCGCTGAATAATTCTGTTGTATGGATATACCACACTTTGCTTACGCATTCCCCTGCTGATAGAGTTGTTTCTGTTTTTGGCTATAAGAAGTAAAGCTGCTATGAATATTCATGTACAAGTGTTTGCATGGACATGTTTTCATGTCTTTTGGGCAAATATATATGAGTGAAATGACTGGGTCCTATAGTAGGTGTTTAACTTTTAAAGAAATTGTCAAAATTATGTACCATTTTAGATTATAACTAGTATTGTAGCAAATGCCAAGGTTAAAAGAATCTGAATTTTAGAGATCGTCAGAGATGAGAATGGTGGCCTAAACGTATAACAGGATAAAGTATAAAGTCTTGCATTTCGAAAAGTAAATCAATTACATTAAGAAATCAGCCAATATGGGGAGAGAGATGCTACTGCTGGGATTTTAACAATTACAAAGGTCAGAAATCAGAAACATGTCTGCTCCAAGACACAAAGTACTAAGGCTGGATGCCCCAGATCATTTCCCTCAAGTCCAGAGTCCTACTGTAATGTGCCCCAGTAACTTCTCCTTCAGAACAGTATTTTCTCAACTAAAAAAATACAGTATTGTTGTTTTTCTTCACTAAGTCATATCCAACTCTTTGTGACCCCATGAACTGTAGCACGCCAGGCTTCCCTGCCCTTCACTGTCTCCTGGAGTTTGCTAAAGCTCATATGCAATATCAGAAGCTTACTAAATGTTTTCATACTGAAATTGCCATTCCAATGAGCAAAAAGCTAGTACTTTAGCCTTGTAAGCAGTCTTAACTTGAGAAGTTAAGATTTAATATGGTATATAAAATGATACGGGGTTGAAGATTGAAAATATTATTGTAAATGTCTTACCTGCCTTTATTTTATTCATAGATACCACTTTGAGTGAGCAAAGACCGAACATTTTACAGATACATTTTGTAGAAGGCTTATAAGAACTAGTGCCATAATTTGAATCATAATGGATTTCACATTATGAGGTAGGTTGAAAATAAAGGACATCTCAATTGTTAGCATTATTTATACTGAAGCATTATTTATACGTATTTATCCTGAATTATTTATATATTTTATAGTAATACTTTGACTTGAAAGCAAGTGAAAGTGTAAGACTTTAAGTTCAGACTAAATATAGTAAAATTCCTGAGTAAAACTCGCAAGTGCTGTTTTCAAATTCAGAGGTGTAAATTTTGGATCACTTTCTCTAAAATAAACAATATTACTTATTTTTCAAGTGTAAAATACACACTGGGCTTCCCTCTTGACTCAGACAGTAAAGAATCCACCTGCAATGTGGGAGACCTGGGTTCGATCCCTGTATTGGGAAGATCCCTTGGAGGAGGGCGTGGCAACCCACTGCAGTATTCTTGCCTGGAGAATCCCCATGGAGAGAGGAGCCTGGCAGGCTCCAGTCCCTGGGGTCGCACAGTCAGACACAATTGAATGATTAAGCACAGCACAAAACACATACTCAAAAAGTTGGCTTTGCTTTCAGATTTACAGGAAGCAAAATAAGAAATTGAAGATGCATTTTGTGAGTTTTCAGATGATTGATCTATGTTGATGTAATTCTAAACTTTGAATTATTTAATCATTATAATAAGATTGTGCTTGCAATATTGTAGAGCAATTAACCTTCAATAACTCCAAACCTCAAAATAAAGCAAGTTTAATTTTTTTTAGAAAAAAAAGATTGCTTGGTTTCAGGTGAAGGGAAGTGGAATATTGGGCAAAAATAGATTTTTTAAATCTCTGCTGTCATGGTTTTTAGCTCCTCAGTTGTTGCACAGTCTCACTATTTGGAGAAAGTTCATGCTAAAAAACGGAAGCAATTAATGAGTGAATATGATCAGATTTCTCCACCAAGGTCTCAATCTGATAAGGGTAAGGTTCAGTTCATGTCTTCATTGATCTCTGCACCATCTGTGATCTTTTGGTGTTGGCTTTTTTCACTCTGCATGTCTTCAGGTTTCATCCGTGTTACACCATTTTGTAGTACCTCATTCCTTTATATTGCTGAATAATATTCCGTTGTGTGAATTGCCACATTGTGTTTATCCATTCATCAGCTAATGAACATTGATTGTTTCTAATTTTAGCTGTCAGTAATAGTGCTGCTGGGAACATTTTTGTACAAGTTTTTGTGTTGACAATAGATTTTCATTTCTCTTGGGTATATATATAGGAGTGAAATTGCTAGGGTTATGTGGTGACTCTGTGTTTGACATTTTGAAGAACTGCCAAACTGTTTTCCAAAGTTGCTGTACCATTTTACATTCCCACCAAGAATGAATGAAGTTTCTGGTTTTTCCTCCTCTTTGCCAACACATTATTTATTATCTATCTTTTTGATTATAGCCATCCTGTGAGTATGAAGTAAATCTTTTTTTTTTAATCTTTTTATTATAAAACATTTTTAAACATAAAAATAGAGAAAACAGTATTATGACATCTTCTGTACTTATCATCCAGTTTTGACAATTATGAACATCTTTTTAATCTTATTAGTGACTTTTTAAAAGTAGCTTTATTGAAGTATAGTTGAGATATGTACAGGAAACTGTACATATTCCAGGCATATAATTTGATAGGTTTGAAACATATGTATTGATGAAATGATCACCATAGTTAAGATAGTAAACATATCATGCCCCCAGAAATGCCCCTTATAATGATGTGCTGAGTTGCTCAGTCATGTCCAACTCTGTGCAACCCCATGGACTGTAGCCAGCCAGGCTCCTCTGTCCGTGGGGATTCTCCAGCAAGAATATTGGAGTGGGTTGCCATGCCCTCCTCCAGAGGATCTTCCCAACCTGGGGATCAAACCCAGGTCTCCCACATTACAGGTGGATTCCTCACTGTCTGAGCCACCAGGGAAGCCCAAGAATACTGGCATGGGCTGCTGTTCCCTTCTCTTAGATCCTCCTGACCCAGGAATGGAACCAGGGTCTCCAGCATTGAAGGCGGATCCTTTACCAGCTGAGCTTCCTCCTACTTTTTCCTGACTACTTTTCCCCAGGAACCACTGTATTGCTATAGGTTGGTTTTCCTTTTTCAAGAGCTTTATGTACATGGAATCATGTATTATGTACTCTTTTCTCAGGCTTCTTTGAGTCAGCTTGATTATTTTGAGATTCATCCATTTCGTCAAGTGTATCAGTAGTCTGATCCTTTTTATCATTGATTCCATTATATGGATATACCACTGTTTGATTTATGCATTTATCTGTTGATCAATATTTGGGTTTTTTTTCTCTTTCTGGGGCTATTACACATAAAACTGCTGTGAATATTCATGTATAAGTCTTTATGTGTACATATACTTCCTTTTCTTTAGGATAAATATCTAGGAGTGGAATAACTGGATCATATGGTAGGTGGATGTCTAACTTCCTTAGAAACTACCAGGCTATTTTCAAGTAGTTGTACCATTTTATATCCTACCAACAATATTTGAGAATTCCAGTTGTTCTACATCCTCACCAATCTCTGTAATTTCAGTCATTCTGGTGAGTACATGGTGATATCGCTTTGTGGTTTTATTGACATCTACTTGATGATGAATGATATCGAGCATCTTTCATGTGCTTATTGTCCATTTGTATATATTCTTTTCTGAAGTGTCTGGTCAAAAATTTTTTGCCCATGTTTAATCATTATGTTACCTTTTGCTCTAGTCAGAATTTTTCTACTATTTAAGTTGAATAGGAGCTAAATTTTCTGGTTCACCAAATTAGGCTTCATTTAAACTTCCTTTTTAATCTCAAATTGGCAGTAAAACTAGCTGATCATTGGTGACTCTAGATTGCTGTCAGACTTGTTTCTGTTAAAGAAAGGAACTACATGGGTTATACTGCCTCATAATTTTTGGAAATAAAGCATATCACCAAAAATATCTAAGGCATTATCTTCTCATACTAAGTACATTTTCTGCTGTATTTGTAATGCAGGATTTGAGGTGGGGGACAGAAAGAGAAATAGTAGTTGTACTGCCCCATTCCCAAAAAAAACAAGCAAAGATTAGCATATCTGCTTGAAATTTCTTCTGAAACTTTTCTCTACATAAATCCCTACCCACTCTGAGCTTTCACTTCCATTTCCCTCTTAACTCTCCCACGAGCTCTTTAATAGAGAACAAATCAGAAGACATTCTAGAATGTCTTTTCCACCAATCAGAAATAATGAAATAAAATCCAATTCCCTATGCAGAAGACACAGAACTCTGTTCCCTCATCTTTTCTCATGCCCTATACCTAAGAGTAGTTTTGTCTCATAGCTGGATTTCTAATTTCCAGCATTCCCAAACCATTTTACAATTTTATTTTTAAGTCTTACAATACTGTTGTCTGGTGAGTATGTATGTTTATTTTATTTTGAGTTAACAGAAGATTTTAAAAATTACCTCTCTATGGTTTGTTACTTTTCTTAGACAACAGTGTTTAAGAATCTGAACTTTAGAAATGATTTGAACACTCAGATCAGGCCACTCACCATGGATATGTAAGTCCTTCTATCCATACATCCTACAAGCCTTACATTTTTGGCCCTACAAAAGAATTATACATGTCAGCTCCTTGCCTCCTTCATCTCACTTCTGAGAAGGATAAAATTACTTGTGAGTGGCGTAAGCAACATTTGACTTCCTTATGCTCCTTTTTGGCATATAATATTATGATATTTAACTTTTACACCAAAGTAGATTTTAATTTTGGGATAGGGGAAGGGGCTTCTTTATTTTGTCTTTTGAGACTCTTCAAGAGTAAAGGAAATATTGAGAATTAAATAATCTAGTAAGAAGAATTTTCTCCCATTTTTCTACCTACAGAGAATCCCTTGTCAAGCTAATGAAGCATTCAAAGAAGACTTATGACTCTTTTCAAGATGAACTTGAAGATTATATCAAAGTGCAGAAAGCCAGAGGCTTAGAGCCAAAGACTTGTTTCAGGAAGATGAGAGAGGATTATTTGGAAACCTATGGGTACAAAGAAGAGGTCGACTCTAGACCCAGGTGTAGAATGTTTGAGCAAAGACTCCCATATGGAACCGTCCAAACCTACCCAAGATCATGCAGTATTTCACAAAGAGTGGAAAAGCAGTTACCTCAGTGGCTACCAGCTCATGACAGCAGGCTGAGACTAGACTCCCTGAGCTGCTCTCAGGTCACCAGGGACTGTTTCTCAGGAAAGCCTGTACCCCCGAACCTGAGTCAGCACGAGTCTAACTGTAGCGCATACAGTGTAGAATCTGGAGTTTACAGGTACCTCTCCTCAGAAAATAGTACCAGTGCCCATCAGGCTAGTTATAAACACATACACCAGAAGAGGAAAAGGCACACAGAGGAAGGCAGAGAAAAGCCAGAGGAGGAGCGGCCCAAGCATAAGAGGAAAAAAGCTTATGGGGAAATAGATTTAGACAAATACAAGAGCATCCAAACAAGCAAAACGGAGGCAGAAACAGTCAGAGTCAGTACAGAAAAGCTTAAGAACCGGAAGGAGAAAAAGAGCCGAGATGTAGCCTCTAAGAAAGAGGAACGTAAGCGCAGAAAAGAGAAAAAGGAACAAGGCCAAGAAAGGACAGAGGAGGAAATGCTTTGGGACCAGTCTATCCTTGGATTTTGAAGCTCTTGCGTTGGTTCCCCCAGGGTTATACTAAATAGTTGAGAAGCTTGGTTTTACAGTGTTCATGTTCAAATCCCTCTTCTCACATGAGCAGGTACAAAGGCTAAGAGAACAGGAAACAGAGTACGCTTGCTATCCAACATGGAAATATTTTTTCTCATTTTCTAAAATCATTACTACATTTTTCTTATACATAATGTAATTTCCCTTAACGAGAGTGGCTCTGCTTTTATTCATCTGGTTGCTGTGATGGTGGAAGTATTTTTCCCTTGGGAGGTCATTTATATTTAAGTAGGATTAATAGGCTTAACAGAATCTATTTCTTGATTGGGTTTTAGTTTGGGGTGGGTATTTTTATATTCATTAGTTTTCTCTGTGAAGCAATTTAGATAGATATTTTCTTCTGTTAGATCTAACTTGCAGTATATTTTCTAGATTGAAAAGTGGAAAATGACATACATTATAATAAGCTTAAGTTACATACAGTTTTAAAAAAGAGTCTTGATACAAAATCAGTTTATATTCTGGAAATGTTTATAATAAAGTTCTAATTTCTACATTTTTTTTTGTTTGTTTCGTGTCAATTATCTGTTCCTATTCAATGAATATTTTCTTCTGGAAGAGCAATAGCCAAGTAAATTTAAACCCACTTTTTGGATAGAAATCTATGAATGACCACAGTTTTTCCAAATAGTTGAAAGTGGGGAATTTATAAGAAATAAAATGCCATTAGATTATTCTTTCCTGACCAGTATTTTCCATTCGGATAGTCCCATTTTTTATGATAAACATATCAAGTATTCAAGCACTGCTCTTTTGTTGTAGAGAGTAGTGACCTAGAAATCTGAATCCCAAAATTCTAGTCTCAGCTATACCTTCAAGTTGTTACATGACTTTGGGGAAGTCTCTCAACTTTATTTTCCTCATTACTAAATATAAGTAGAAGCACTGGCCTCTAAAATGCCTTGAATAACAAGAAGATGCCATGATATGAAAACTCTTTGCATTCTACAATGTTGTGTATATATATTATTAAATTTAACATTATTTTGCTAATGTGATTTTTTTATTTTATATTTTATTATATATTCCCTTGGGGCTTTCTGATGGCTCAGACAGTAAAGAATCTGCCTGCAGTACAGGAGACCCAGGTTAAATCCCTCCATTGGGAAGACCCCCTGGAGAAAGGAATGGCAACTCCCTCCAGTATTCTTGCCTAGAGAATTCCATGGATGGAGGAGCACAGCAGGCTACAATCCATGAGGTCACAAAGAGACACAACTGAGCGACTAAGCACGCACACACACACACACACACACACACACACATTCCCTTCACCTGCTCAACCTTCTGCATGCAACCAGTCTCCCCACCCTTGCTAGGCCGCTACCTTACTCAGCCCTGAACCCTCTCTGGGTCTTCACCTTGCCTAGCCTCCTACCTCAGTGGGCCTTAAATAGCGAAGAAGAAAGGAAGGAAGTGGAGGAGGGAGAGGGCATAGGTGACGCATTTTATTTTAAACTAATGACCGCAACCTCCAGTCCATCAGGTTTCCCTAGTAAATATCCCACCCTCAGAGATGTCTTTTATATTCTCCGCGCTCTCCTCAAACTCTCCTCCCTGGTGCCTCCCATACAGGCCCCCTTTCTCTGAGCTGATGGACTGCAAGTACTAGTTTAAAAAAAAAAAAAAAAAGAGAGCTAGCTGAGCTACTCAGTCTATGATAATGTGTTTAAAGCAACCCAAACTGACAGAGACAGTGACCTCTAAATTTCTGTTTCTAAGCTAGATTTCTCCCCTGAGTTCTGGACTCATAACCAACTGCATTTGTTGCTATTTCCAACTAGAACACGAAAAGAGCACACACTTCTCACCAGTCATTCTTCCCTCAGTCTTCCCCATCTCTGCAAATAATAACACCATCTTAATTGTTCAAGCCAAAAAATCACTAAAATCACACTTAATTCTCTTCTACATCAGAGCCATCAGTGATTCTTCATGGTTTTACCCCCAAATTATCTCTCCTCTTGTCCAATTCTATCTTCACTGCCACCACCCTGACCCAAACTAACTCTGGTATTGTTTTGGGTTTATCTGAACCAAAGAAAGAGCTGAAAACTGGGAGAAGTCATCACAGGCTCTGAGTTAATGAGTGTAAAACCAGAAACAGGTGTATCAAGAGATCAAATAGTGTCATGGCCATCTAGCACTGTGGACTTCAGAAATGCCCAGCAAATATTTCCTTCCAGAAAGACAAAATCTTACCTGAAAAGAAAACTGCTAGATTGAAAAACCAAATTGGGCAGGGAAGTAGCACTGGGGGTAAGGGAAAGAAAAGGTTCCAAATGCCCATCAGCAGACGAATGGATGAGGAAGCTGTGGTACATATACACCATGGAATATTACTCAGCCATTAAAAAGAATTCATTTGAATCAGTTCTAATGAGATGGATGAAACTGGAGCCCATTATACAGAGCAAAGTAAGCCAGAAAGATAAAGACCATTACAGTATACTAACACATATATATGGAATTTAGAAAGATGGTAACGATAACCCTATATGCAAAACAGAAAAAGAGACTCAGATGTATAGAACAGACTTGTGGACTCTGGGAGAAGGCGAGGGTGGGATGTTTCAAGAGAACAGCATCGAAACATGTATATTATCTAGGGTGAAACAGATCACCAGCCCAGGTTGGATGCATGAGACAAGTGCTCGAACTTGGTGCACTGGGAAGACCCAGAGGGATAGGGCGGAGAGGGAGATGGGAGGGGGGACCGGGATGGGGAATACATGTAAATCCATGGCTAATTCATTTCAATGTATGACAAAAACCACTGCAATGATGTAAAGTAATTAGCCTCCAACTAATAAAAATAAATGAAAAAAAAAAAGAATAATATAAAAAAAATAAAATAAAAAGTTGTAGTCTACAAAAAAAAAAGAAAAGGTTCCAAGAGTAGGGAGCAGGGGAAGGTGACAGGTGAAGAACTCAGAAAATTCTGCAACAGCAAAATACAACATCTGAGGTAAGAATACCACCTTGCCAGGCAAGCCCCACTGGCCTGTAAGAAACAACAGAAAAACTTTTCTGAACCAAGCTCCACTCCGAATGGCAGAGAAATAACCATATCTTGTGCCCTTCACTGTAACGAGCGGAATCCCTCAAGCCATGAAGCTGGAAAAGGTACCTAGGGCATTCCTTCTCCACAGAAATGTCCTCAAAGTAGTCCAGGTCAACACATTTCATTTAAATTTTGGAAAGGAGGAGGAGACTATGATCTAGCCATACAAAGTGTTACAAGAGAAAAATGAACTAAAATACTTTGATAAGGAGACACCAAAAAAAATGGAAACACAAAGCAAATTAAAAGCTATAATGTAACACTTCAAACAAGGCTGAAAGAGATTAAGAAAACAGTCAAAACTTTAAGAAAAGTTAAAATGGACTTCCCTGGTGGTCCAGTGGCTAAGACTCCCTGTTCGTGATGCAGGGGACCTGAGTTCAATCCCAGGTCAGGGAACTATCTCCCACATGCCACAATTTAGACCCTGCACAGTCAAATTAATTTTTTAAAAAAAGAAAAAGCAAAAAGAGCACAAAACAAAAAAAGAACTCTGGAATGAAATGGTCAATTATGCAACTGAAAAAGACAGTAGTCAATTCCAAGAAAAATAAAATATAATGCAGTAATGAAAAAGTAATTCTAATTTTTAGTCAAAAATATTCATTGGGCATTCATTGAGCATCAAATTAGAGCCAGACATGGTTACTAAATAATGACCTTGACAGATATAGGGGGGAAAAATATATAGTAAAAGAAAACAAAATCAAATCATTGAAAGGAACACAAGAGAGTATAGGCACCATAGAAAGAACAGGATAGGAAGGAGAATAATGAAGGTATTCCAACAAAAGTAAATTTACACCTTGCGAGTAGGTGATAAAAGATGAGCAAAGATCCAAATACAAAGCAGGGGACTTCCCTGGTGGTCCAGTGGTTAAGAATCTTCCTTCCAAAGCAGGAGATAAGGGCTCCATCCTTGTTTAGGCAACAAAGACCCACATGCCTCAATTGACCTCTCACAAACACCCCCAGCAATGGATGCAGGGGCACTCAGCGACTTAGCTGGCTCCTCTGGGAGTATAATATATTTCCCTCTGCAGGCAAGAAATAGGCCAAAGGAAAGGATAATCATCAAAGTCAGGGTGGATGTCCAAATCAAATCAATATACCACAGATCGCCTGGAGAACAGAGTCCCTAATAACAAGGGACTCCAAATGGTCCCCAGGCCCTGGAAAATATTGAACATCCTTGTATACTTCATGCCACAACCACCACAAAGGGAACTGCAATACTCCCGCCACTTTACTTGGAGGAAACTGAAGAAAGCTGAGGCCCTGAGAAATGGATTTGTCCAGGGTTACTCTGGAGCCATCTCTCCAGCCATCTCTCCTTCCAGGAATGAGGTTTGAAACACCCCGCCCCCCTTTTAGGGAGCTGGGATCCAGGAGAAGCCTACTGAGTGGGGGTGGGGGCACGAGGCACATAGGTGCTGCCTTCCTGGAGGGGCCAAGGGTGAGGAATCGCGTTTACCATAGATCTTGAAGGGAAGAAGGGAGTCCCAGCCTCAGGGCATATGAGAGAATATGCAGGTGACGGTGGGCACACGCCTCACTTGAAAAGTGAGGTTATTGTCCTGGTCTGATAGGAAAGGGGGTAATGAGTGGTTTCTAGGCAGAAAAGGAGGGCATTGAAATGGGTGATCTCAAAGGTTCCCCTCCATTTGGGAGAATGGAGCTCAGCAGCAGGCTCTGCCACAAGGGGACCTCATCTCTCATCTGGAGCGGCCTGAACCCAGCACCTGTGAGTGCCTCCCCAGGCCTGCTTGTCTTGCCCTCCCAGGTCTCCCCACCACACTTCACTCCATTTCACTTCCCGCCCAAGGTTGCTGGCAAGGTGGGAGCAGGAAGTGAGCCCGAACGGCACCCCTCAGCTGGGCACAGCCCTGCAGCCTTGTTTTCATTGCGTTGCTGTCTTCCTGCCAGGTGCAGGGTGCTGCAGGCCACCTCCTCCTCCATCACTAATTCATGTCAGCTACATCCCAGGGAGGCACACTGCCTACTGATGAGTGATGAGGAGTCTGGTGTGCTATAGTTCATGGGGTCACAAACAGTCGGACGCAACTGAGCAAATAACACACACACTACACTGCTTTGTATAATGTAACATTAAGTGGAGTTCTGAGGTTAAGAAATGGAAGGAAGTCCACTTGTATGCTTATTAGACTGCATTAGTGTATCCATATCCAGTCATTATGACCTTCCCTGAGTTTCAAAGGGCAGATGCGAAAAGTTGCTAATAAAGTGAGGTGCAGTCAAGAACCCACAAGAGGCAAGATTAAAGGGACCAGATAAACTCATCAAAAGTAGGAGACCACCCACCTGAGATGAGATTAAGGGAGTGCAAGCCCCGCCCACACACTGACCTTGTCAGACCCCACCAATATAAAAACCCTCAAGCTCTCGAGTTTGAGACTCACAGGTTCTCAAGGCAG